CCGCAGCTACCCAGAGTAAAGACAATAATTAGAGAATAACAGCATCACAGCTTCAGGCTGTACTCAACTTTACATAAGACTCACAACGGTTTAAGAATAGAGACAATCCTATAGTATAGAACCTCTACACCACTATCCCCTCCTACCCTACTATCCGCTCCCGTTACCTTCCTTTTTCCTCCCAGATTGACAAATTATATGTAAACTAGTAGCAAAACTCTTGAATAGTCGTAGCCTGTATATCGCTTAGGGCGATGGGTCAGGGTAAATGAATACAACTCAACTTAACTCAATTAATTAATTAATTAAGCACCGCTCCTAGCCGCTCTGCTAAGCACCCTGATCCTAAGCCTTTCGACGGCATAGATGCTGCCAAGTTTCCTCCCTAGCTACTCGCTATGCGCATCAAGCTCTAGAACAATGCCGATCATTTCAACTCTAAGAAAGCTCGTATAGGCTATGTCTATTCTCGCCTTTCAAGCCATGCCTAGATATTCCTCAGCTCTTCAATTACTGAAGAAGGCGACTTCAGCTTCGCTAACGTCGATAAGATGTTTAAGATGCTTCAGGGAATCTTCGACGACCCTAACCGCAAAACCAACGCTGTAGCTCGCCTGATCAATCTTCGCCAGACTAACAGGCTGTTTTCTGACTTTATCGCCTCGTTTAAGAAGGAAGCTGCCTACGCGGGCTTTACCGACTCCTATGCTCTCCGCGCTATCTTACTTAATACTATTAGTATAGAACTAAAGCAGTACCTCGTCACCGACAACGACTATAAGAGTCTAACCTTCGACCAGCTGGTTAACCGCCTCTAGACCTACGACGTCCGCTATCGTGCGCTCTCTAACGGCAGCCGCCGTCCCCCGAATAGCAACAACCGTTCTAGACCCTTTACCTTCGGTACTCCCTATTCTACTATTACTAACCAGCAGACCCAGAGCGCGCTATCCACTCCTCTCACAACTACCCAGGGCGGCGACGCAATAGACCTTTCAGCCAACCGAGTTGTTAGGGGCCATCTTACGCCTGAAGAGAAGAATCGACGCGATGCTAACAACCTCTACCGCTATTGCGGGGAGCCTAGTCACTTCGCTCGCGAGTATCCTAAGAAACCGAAGCGTTCCCCCCTTACGTTCCGCGCCGCAGGCACCCAGGAGGCCCCTACTACCCCTACTACCGCTACTATTAGCGAGACTTAAGTCCCTGCTAGTGGTTCGGAAAATACTTAGGCCCTAGATAGAGACGCGCTCAGGGCCGCTACGGTTAAAGTTCCTTAGAACTCTCTACTTTTTCAGTTTACGGTTTCTTAGGCTTAACCTGCTATTCGGACACCGAGCATTTCGCTCTCCAATATACTATTTAGCCGGTAGCTTAGACAAATAGAATACCTTCTCTTAGCCTACTTAATACTGGTGCTTCAGCAAAGTCTTTTATAGACCTCGATTACGCGCAACGAAATAAATTTCAAGCTATCCCGTTAGCTTATCCCAAGACCCTTCAAGTCTTTAATGGAACCGAGTCCTCGTCCGGTCAGATTATATATATGGCTCGAGGGTTCCTTTATATTAACGGACACACTGAATTAATAACCTTTTATCTTACTTAACTCGCACAGTTTGACACGGTCCTCGGCCTACCTTGGCTAAAGCTGCACGACCCTGAGACGAGATAGAGCCAGAACTTGATCCGTTTCAACTCTCCCTACTGCCTAAAGAACTGTACTAAAGGACAGGTAGTAGAAGCCTCGGCTAAAATCGATAACCCCCCTACTCCTCGCCCTGTTTACCTAAAGGACCTAGAGACGCTACTTCAACTTTCCTCCTGTTCTCTTAGCACACTGCGTCGGTAGAGCCGGAAACCCGGAAGTACCCTCTTCGCTATAACTCTCGCCGACATAGAAAAAGCTCTTAATCCTACTATTATCGTCGATCCAGCTACCGTTCTTCCCTTACAACACTATAGGTGGCTTCATGTTTTCTCAAAGGAGGAGTTAGATAAGCTTCTACCACACCGGACCTCAGATTACAAGATATATCTAAAGCCCGAAGCTGAACCTTCCTACGGCCCGCTCTACGGCATGTCCCGAGAAGAACTCCTAGTTCTTAAGAAGTATCTTAAGGAAAACCTAGCTAAAGGATTTATCCGGCTAAGTTCTTCACCTACCGCTTCCCCTGTTCTTTTCGTCAAGAAGCCCGGTGGTAGGTTACGGTTCTGCGTAGACTATCGAGCTCTCAACCAGTTAATAGTTAAGAATCGATACCCTATTCCCCGGGTTAGCGAGACCCTAGCGAGGCTAGGAAAGGCAAAGTATTTTACTAAGCTAGATATCATTAGAGCCTTCAATCGCCTACGCATTGCTAAGGGTAACGAATAGCTTACAGCTTTCCGTACCCGTTATAGTTTATACGAATATCTCGTTATGCCCTTCGGCCTCGCTAACGCTCCGAGCTCCTTTTAGAACTATATCAACGATATACTACGAGAATTTCTTAATAATTTCGCTACAGCCTACCTCGATAATATCCTAATCTATAGCTAGACTCGGGCTGAATATGAAGAATATATCAACCATGTTCTCTAGAAGCTTAGCGAAGCAGGGCTCCAGGTAGACATTAAGAAGTATACGTTCTATGCCCGGGAAGTAAAATATCTCGGTCTTGTTATTACTACCGAAGGAATACGCATAGATCCTGAGAAGGTAGAAGCTATCAAACGCTAGCCGGTTCCTCAGAATACTAAGGATGTTTACGCCTTTATCGGATTCGCTAATTTCTACCGGAGATTTATAGAAGGGTTCGGCAAGATTACCCTTCCGCTAACAAACCTTATAAAGAAAGACATTCCCTTCAAGTGGACTAACGAAGCTCAATGCGCCTTCGAGGCCTTAAAGGAAGCCTTCCTAAAGAATATCGTCCTAAAGCACTTTGATTGGGACCTACCGTATCGTCTTAAGGTTAATACTTCTAATCGAGCTACAGGCGGCGTCTTACTGCAACCGGATCACGCCCAGAACTGGAGACCTGTTGCCTTTTTCTCTAAAAAGATGACTCCCGCGGAGAGCAACTATAAGATCTATAATAAGGAGCTTCTCGCAATCGTGCAGGCCTTTAAGGAATAGAGACCCGAGCTCGAAGGAACAGCCGATGAAGTAGAAGTTCTCTCCGACCACCGGAATCTTAAGTACTTTATAAAGACCCGTCTTCTTAACCGCCGCCAGGCGAGGTAGAGCGAGTTTCTCTCTCGGTTTCACTTCCGTATCGTTTATCAGCCTGGCACCCGTAACTCACGAGCTGACGCCCTCTCTCGTCCCCCGGGTAGCGACTACCAGGATCAGAAGGAGTTTCTCCACCAACGCGTCTTAAAACCCGGTAATCTCTCTAATAGCATGGAACCACTTATGCTCCAAGGCAGTCGTCGAGCAAGGAGGAAAAGGGAAGCCAGGCAGGCACTACAAGCTCAAGAGGCCCAGCGTATTCAACAGGAAACGGCCTTAGCTGAACCCGAGAAGCCTAAGAAATCCAAGAAGTCCAAGAAATCTAAGAAGTCTAAGAAGTCTAAGAAGCCGCATCCTCCTACGGAAGACTTACCCACAGACTCCTCTCCTTCTTAGGAGAGTCCTGAAGCCGAGGAACCCGGAGACTCTAGCCTAGAACCTACGATACCGCCATTCGAACCAGAAGAAATGCCTACGCCTAGCTCCCCTGAACAGACGCTCGACCCTCAAGAGGATAAAGATTCTAACACGGAAACCTTAGACGATAACCCTATTCCCGAAGAAATAACCGAGGATACTACCTTTAAGCCTTCAGAAGACGGAGATCCCATCCTAAACCCTGATCTACCTCTTATTGAACGACTTCGTCTTGCCACGCTGGAAGACGAACTCTGCCAGTCAATTATCCAAGCCTTAGAGAGTACCCAGCATCGACCAGTTCGAATTGCTAACGTTACACTTGCTGAATATACGTTGGTTAACGGTTTAGTTTATTATCGGGATCGGATCCTCGTTCCAGAGAACCCTAAGTTACGGACAGACCTAATACGTCTAATATATAACCTTCCAGCTGCTAGTCACCCGGGACGATCTACTACAATCTCGCTCCTAGATCGTTTCTACTACTGGCAAGGAATAACTACGGATGTTAGGCGGTATATCCGCAACTGTTACATATGCTCCCGAATCAAACCCTCTCGAGACGGACCTTAAGGGCTACTTAAGCCATTGGATATTCCTTACCGACGCTAGAGGGACATCTCTATCGACTTTATCGGCCCGCTTCCTAAAAGCGTAGATATCTCAGGCGCCTCGTACACGCACATAATGGTCGTAGTCGACCGTCTCTCTAAGATAAGGCGTTATATCCCGTGCAGGAACCCTACTACTTTAGATACTGCCCACTTATTCTACCGGGAAATCTTTAAGCTCTTTAGCCTACCCCTTTCAATCGTTTCTAACCGAGACGCCCGCTTTTTCTCTAAGTTTTGGCAACACCTCTATCGACTCCTTAATATTAGTTCTCGAGCTTCTACAGCATATCACCCGCAAACTGACGGTCAGACTGAAAGGGCGAATAAAGATATAGAGGTATATCTCCGAGCCTACGTTTCCTATACCCAGGACGACTAGGTTCGTTGGTTACCTGCAGCTGAGTTCGCTGCTAACAACGCTGTATCCTCGTCAACCGGGGTATCACCTTTCTTTACTAACTACGGACAACACCCGTACGGTGGAAATAAGCCTGTCCTAGTAGAAAACCCAGGAGCTCCGGCCTCAGCTCGCCTGCAACGACGAGATGCTAGAGAGTTTGCCGACAAGATACAGAGAGTTATTACTTTCATACGAGAAAACCTCCGCCAAGCTTAGCTTATTCACGAGGATCAGGCGAACCGCCGCCGCTACGGAGCCTACGCCTTCAAGGAAGGAGACCTCGTTTAGTTAAACCTAAAGAATATCCAAACTCTTAGGCCTAGTCGTAAACTTGACTTCAAAAACGGTAGCCCCTTCCGCATTCTAAAGGTTGTTTCTCCCTACGCCTACACTCTAGACCTGCCACACTCGATGAAAATATTCCCTACCTTCCATGTTTCCCTGTTAAAACCCGTGTCAACGGATCCTCTTCCAGGGTAATCCGCTACGCCACCCCCTCCGGTAGAGACTGAAGAACAAGAAGAAGAAGAATACGTAGTGGAAAATGTTGTTAACGGATACTAGGGGGATGACGATACTTACTATTATAGGATTCGTTGGAAAAACTACGGTCCAGCTGACGACTCAGATATTCCTACCGAAGAATCCTCTGGCTTTGCTCAATTAGCAGCGGACTTCTATTTCACGCATCCTTATAGAGAACATCCCAACCACCCGCTACACGGTACTGAAGGGCCTCGCAGGAGCTCGGCAAAAGAAAGGGGGGGATAATGTCACGGGTTTCTAGCGCGTTCCTTGTAGTTCTTACCAGCAAGCGCTAGCTGACGGTTTGTCTTTGTTTATTGTTTACTAATTATTGTTTATTCATGTTTCTAATGGTTTGTCTTATTTGTTATTTGTTAATTATTGTTTATATTTGTCTCGCTCGTTGTCTCTCGCTTAGCGCCTAGCGCCTGCTAGCGAGCCATATATATGGCCGCCGTCTCTCGTTCTCTTCCTTTCCTCTTCGTACCACGTCTTGTAGTTAATCCTACACAATCTGGTTTGAATCCGCCTCACTGCCGTGACAAACTACCCGGAACTATAACTTCGAGACCAAAGAGGCACCCAGCCAATCTCGAGATAGAAACCCGCCCCCCTAATATCCGGGAGGAACCCTCCACGCCCCCCTTAACCCGCCTAAGAATTATCCTATCCTCCCTAATCCTAACGGACGACGATATAGATATAGAATAAGAAACGAACCCGACCTAACCCTAGTTTACGGAGGAAAGTACGCCACTAGAAACAACCCCTACCCTAGGTTTGATTGATTGATTGATTGATTGATTCGTTTTACGTCTATATGCAGTTGGAAACTATGACGGACGGTCCGTTTAGGAC